CCCGCCCTCAGGCGCGCGCGCCTGGCCTGGGGACAACCTGGCTGCTCACGCACACCCTCTCTCCCAGCAGCCTGCTGCAGAAGCCCCCCCGGGAAGAGCGTGGATGCCCCCGCGAGCCAGGATGTGGAGAAGAAGGAGGCGCCAGGTCTGATCCTGGGGCTGGGATGGCGAGCTGTTCTGCCCTGGCTTGGGGGACAGTGGGCAGCGCCCCCACGCCAAGCACAGCCGGCTGACCCTTGCTCTCCACTCCTGCCCCCTGCAGATGGCGTGGTGATCTTCTCCGAGAAAGATGAGTTTGAGAAGCTGACGGCAACCCCAGCAAAGACCACCAAGAGGTACGAGGCTGGCGGCCCAGCAGAGCTTACTCTGGTCCCCGGAGACCTGCTTCTGCACCCTGGGTACAGGGCTCCATGCACCTCCCCGGCACCCTTGGAGCTGTCAACACCAAGGCAGACCCGGTGCGGCCGAGGGTGGACAGCTGCGGGCTTGAGGGAAGGGCAAGCATACTCAGCTCCTGGAGGCAGGAAGTTTCTGGGGCCTTCTGGGACAGTAGTTTTCTGAATCTGGTGACTCCTCAGAAGCGCTGAGGCTTAGGAGGAGGCTGCGGCCTGCTTCGCTTCAGGGATTGAGGGTCCTGTGCTCTTTGCTCCAGGACTGCAGCCCTTCCTGGCAAATTTGTGTTTCTTTTTTGTTACCTGTAATCGAACTCAGGGCCTTGCACTTGCCAGGTAGGCACTTGTGCCACCAAACTGTATCCCTAACCCTCTTACTGACAAACTTAATCCTTAAAACAAAATCAAGCAGGGTGTGGTGGCACACACCTGCCAATTCTAGTACTTGGGAGGCTGAGGCAGGAGGATCACTTTTGAGTTTAAGGCCAGCCTGAACTGCATAATAAGACCCTGCCTCAAAAGGACAACAACAAAAAAAATCAGTCCACAGCAAGTCAGCTGGAACTTAATAGCCATAGGGTCTCTGGGTCCCAGACAGCAGTCCCTGTGCCCACCTGTACCCTCAGTGGCTCTGCATAGGGTCTCTGGGCCCCAGGTGGAAGTCCCCGTGCCCACCGGCACCCTCAGTGGCCCTGCAGTGACAGCCAGCCTCCAGAAAACCAGGGCTTCCCGCCTCCCTGCTCACTGCCATAACATTGCATCCAGGGTCAAACACAACCCAGCACCCATTCCATGGCCCTTCAGCCAGCATCTCCCCAGCCAGGCAGGGAGAACTGAGCAGGCACCATCTGACCTCAGTGCCTCAGAAGGCCCCAGTACTGCAGGTCACCACAAAAAGGATGGGGGAAGGAACGGGGAGCAGCGATGGCTTCTCCCACCCAGAGCCTCAAGGTACACAGGGATGCCAATGAACACATCACAGCACCTTCCTGCTGGCACAGGGCATGGGGCACCTGGGACACAGTATCCACACAGCTGTCTACACTGGGTAGCAGGTCACCTGAGACATGTCATGCATCTGGCTGGTCACCCCGGGACAGATGTGGGGGTCACCCCTGGGAGGACCGCTGTGCCTAGCTAGCACTCTCACAGTGCCCAGCAGGGCTATAGCTGCCCATGTGGCCAATGTACAACCCTCCTGTCCCCAGCGAGAATGATGCCTCGTCAGAAAACGAGCAGCTGCTGAGCCGGAGTGTGGACAGCGATGAGGAGCCGGCGCCTGACAAGCAGGGATCCCCGGAGCTGTGTCTACTGTCGCTGGTGCACCTGGCCCGGGAGAAGCCAGCCCCCAGCAGCAAGTCGGCCGGGGTGAGGCCCCGTGGTGTCTAGTGTCCCCTCGGTACCTCTGAGGGATAAGCTCCAGGACAGGTGCTGCTGTCCACAGCGGGCACCACACAGGGACAGGGGAACAGGGCAGGCAGAAGGCAGGCACCAGCTCCCTCCACGAGCGGCCTTGTAGATGAAGATGAACCGAGAGAAGCACAAGAGAACACAAGAGCCCTCAGGAGCACAGTGACGTGTGTTCCTGCACACACACACTGTGCACATGTGAACACACACAGAACACACACAGAACACACATGCACTCAGCCCGTGTCTGCAGGTTCCAAACCGATGGGATCCACGAACCCAGACAGAAAACAGAGCGAGCAAGCCGGGTGCGTGCCAGGCAGAGACCTCGTCATTCTCGACATACTATAGCTCAGCGGCTCTGCACAGCGTTTGCACTGTGCCCTGAAGGAACCTAGAGTCAGAGGGCACAGGGGGGCTGTGCGGTGGTTCTGTGTGAACACTGGGTCCTTTTACACGGGGACCTGGGCATCAGATCCTGGGGTCCTCGCATCTTGAGCCAGTCCCAGGAGCCCAGGAACAACGGCACACACGCCTTCTGCAAAGGCCAGTGCACACTGCCTTCATGCTCAAATAGGCCCCCTTCCACACACCGTCTGGGGTTCTACCTCAGAGCAGCAGCCCATGAGCCCCACGCTGGCTCCTGGCGCTGCGCCTTCACACATGTGCAGCATCTGGGGAAAGGCCTTCCTGGGCCCGGGTTTGGCTGGTCCTGTTGGGCATCATGCGACCTCTTTACAAGGCCCTATTTGCAGGGACCCCAAGGGGCATGGTTGTCATGGAGGCTGTGGGGTGGGACTCCTCACCTGCTTGCCACCACCTGTGCCCCAGGGAGAAACTGCCTGGCTCTGCCTTTGGCCAGATGGGTCCTAGCCTTGGTCACGCTGCTCAGAACCCTGGTGCCCGCCCACCCTGTATCCAGCTTAGGCAAGAGCACCAGGGTACTGGCGCACCCCTCCAGCAGCCACCCTCGGCCACGACTCCCTGGCCAGGGTGGAAGCGCAGCAGGTGAGCTCTCACTTTCACAGATCCAAAGCCGAAGGAAGAAGATCCTGGATGTGTACGCCAACGTGTGCAGTGTGGTGGAGGGTGAGTGTGCCAGGGCCACGCTGAGACACGGCCTGATGCTCCCAGGGCTGCACCTGCCTGCGCCTCACAGGTGTGCAGGCAGGAAAGCTGGGCCCAGCAGGCAGAGCCCACCAGCACCCGCACCCTTTCCCACAGGACAGGGAATGTCAGCGCCCTGACAAGGGCCGATGAACCCCACAGCAGAGCAAGGCAGCTCTGAGAGCGTGCCCTCCAGCCCGCTCATTTCTCCAGCAGTTAGTCGTGGGCAACAGGACTTGGGTCCCGGGAAACATGCGCGTGATGCCACCATGCAGATCTTACAGGCCAGGGTTTGCAGCCAGGTGCCAAAAGGCACCTAGGCAGTGTGTGCTCATCCCTAGCAGCCCCCCGCCCCTCTGAGGTGGACGGTGCTGGCCCAGGGCACCCACCTGCCACAGCTACTGCTCAGGTCGGACGCACCAGGCACAGGTGAGAGCCAGAGCACAGTAGCTTCAATCCTACACGGGCAGCATTCCGCCTGGAGCGACCCTCATTCCTGAGGAGAACCTCTCACCACCAAGGCCAGGCCCCCATGCCCACCCGGCAGGGAGGCAGCAGGGGAGCCAGGCACCTGGTGCTCACAGCCCCAGGGCCTGGCCAGGGTTTAGGCTGCCTGCTGGGCGCAGGGTCTCCCCAGGCTCATCCAGCCCCACCAGGGTTGCTCACGTGGTGGTGCCTGAGCCCTGTGCTGAGGACGGCCTGGCCTCAGAGCCCCAAGCACTGGGCCCCCCTGATGGCTGGTCCTGACCTCCAGGTCTCAGCCCCACGGAACTGCCCTTCGACTGCCTGGAGAAGACAAGCCGCATGCTGAGCTCCACGTACAACTCTGAGAAGGCTGTGGTGAAGACCTGGCGCCACCTGGCGGAGAGCTTCGGGTTGAAGCGGGACGAGATCGGCGGCATGACAGACGGCATGCAGCTCTTTGACCGCATCAGCACAGCGGGTTACAGCATCCCCGAGCTGCTCACCAAGCTGGTTCAGATCGAGCGGCTGGACGCGGTGGAGTCGCTGTGTGCAGACATTGTGGAGTGGGCGGGGGCTGTGCCGCCGGCCTCCCCACCACCAGCTGCTGCATCCTGAGCGCGCCCCGGACATCCTACCTCTCCACAGGAGCTGGCGTTTCAGAGCCTTTGCAGCTGAAGGCCTCTGTTGGGTCACCATGCACCCGTACCACCAAGGTGAAGGCTGAACAGCGCTGCAGCCAGCCTCCGGGCACAGGGATTTTAGCTACTGACCACAGATTCGCCCCGAAGCAGCGTGGGACCAGGGAGCCAGATCCTGTAGCGATGGGTCTCTGACAAGCAGAAGCTCAGCAGGAGGCAGAGGCAACAACTTGCAGGGGGCCACGGCACAGCCTGAGGGGGGGGGCCGCAGGAGTGCTCAAACCCTTAGAGGGAGGAGGGCTGCCTGGCTGAGGCAGTAGTGCCACATGAGAAAGACGCTGGGCCACAGCATCCCACCTCGCTGCATGCTGCTGTCACCCACGTGCAAGGCCTGTGTGCCCTATGACCAGGCGTGTGGCAGCTCCGCTGATGTGAGTCCCAAGCCTGGGACACCGGTGAATGGGCTTGTGGTCCTCAGGCAGATGCCAGTGCTCCAGGACACGTGTCAGGTTGTTCTGTTTGACACTCATCTGAAGGGGCCACTCACTGTGGTGGCCTCAGAGAGGCTGAGGCTTGTGTCCTGGCCCCTTCCGCATCTCCACGGCCCTAGAGAACTCAGCCTTTGATGCTACAGTTAGGAAAGCCAGAGTGCGCAGCACGAAAGCAGCCCAGGGGCGCCACACCGTGCACGGCGCAGGCCAGCAAGGACTAGAAATAAGACAGGACGCAGCTGGCTTCCTCCCAGCTGATGCAGGGTGCAGCTCGTGCAGATCCACACCACAGTGCCAACAGCCAAGTGAAAACCAGTGCTGACCTAGGGACAGTTTCATAATTCTAAGTACAAGTCAAGAAATGCATGGGGCTCCATGACAAGAAAGCAGCCTCCCACCACAGTGCAGGGGATGTCGACGGGACACTGACCAGAGCCGGACACTTAATGTCACCCCTAATAGTCCACTGCATGTCCCAAAACCCATGCAGTACATCCCACGATCCACAGGCCAGTGGGCCCTCTAATTCTTCTTAGGAGCCCTACAGCATCCCTAGCGGTGGTGACGTCGCGCCCACCTGTGGTGAGACGCAGAGGTCAACGGTGAGCACGGGGGGCCTGCACTTTATCAGGCTCCCCCCCGAGCTTGTGCTGGCCTCAGCTGCTGCTCTGCTGGGCGGCCAGGTCCAGAGCCCCGCCACCATGTCTGTTACCTACCTGGAAACACCCAAGAAGGCCTGCGCTGCTGCGATTCTCAACTGCAGTCAGACCACGAAGGCCTCCACCTGGCTGCTTGGTGTGATGGTCACTACAGAACGTGTCCAGGAAGCACTTCCCGCAAGGGGGGGCCTCAGTGAGTGAAGTCTCAATTGTGAATCTATCTACTTGAGTCTGTGTATGTAATTTATTATATAATCTCAGTAAACACAGAAATGAAAAAGACGCTGCCATGTGATGATCTGTGTCCACATGTGTGTGCAGAGGTGCAGCAGGTGCTGGGTGGACACCAAGCGGCTGCCTGCCTGATAGGATCAGCCCTGTCAGGCAGCACCTGACACGGCCCAGCATTCCCTCCACCGAAGCAAGCATTGCAGCCTCGTGGAAGATCACCCAGGCAAGGCTTCCATGTGCCACGGAAGTGCTGCTGTGTAACAGAACTGCCCCCACATCCAGGGGCACGGGGCAGTCACCTCACCCTAGCTTAGGGGCCAGCGGGGGTCACAAGCCCTCAGACCTTGGCCTCTACCCGCAAGGAGACCCTACGGGGTAGAGCTCTGCCCGATCATCCCACATCCTCCCAGAAAGAGCCCAAGACTGCTCCATGGCAACAGGGCCAAGGGCAGACCCCAGAGCCCAGGTCGGAAGAGGGTTCCCCCCACACAAGCAGCAACATGGGAAGGGCTGTCGGTCAGCTGGTGTCATTGCAACTGTGCCGCAGGTGTCGGCATTTAAGAGAGGGCTGCTGTGGCTCGTGCCCTCAAGAGGCCACAGGAAGGCCCCGTTTGGCCCATGGCTGAAGGCCATAGTGGAACATGGGACACAGCTGTCACCTCATGGCTGGGGAGTATGAGGAGGAGTATGGTCCCAGTCTTCCAAATATAGGACTGGCCAGACCACAGAGTGTCACTGAGGGCTTCTTATGATGTTGTAGCCAACAGTGTCACAGGGAGCTAGGACACGTGTGACACGCCCACTGCGAGTGTCTCTCAGGGCAGGACCTCCCCCACCCCTGGCCAACCTTGGCCTTGGTGCTCTCTCCACAGCTTGGCCTCCTGCAGCACCAGGGGAGCTGGGCCAGCACTAGCCTTGCAGGCGTCCTCTCAGTAATGTGCACTGCTTCCTCCGTCCCGTGTGTCTTGAGGGCTCAATTCTGTCATTAGCACTTCGGTGAGCAGAGGTGCCACGTTTCACTTCCCACGTGCCTGCTGCTGAGGGGCCTGGCTGTAGGACGCGCTGCAGCCCCTTACGCCCTCCATTAAGTACTATCCCATGTTTTTCTTTTTTTTAGGTTTTTGGTGGGGTTTTTTGGTGTTGTTGGGGATCAAACTCAGGGCCTTGTACACACAAGGCAAGAGGAACTGTACCACTGAGCCACACCCCAGCATCCATGTTTATTTTTGGGTATTTTTTGTAAGTTATTTTCTTGCGTTTCTTACATTATCATAATCGTTTTATTCTGATCAAATTCTCTCCCCACAATTATTACTCATCGACCTACAGTTTGGGCTTTTGAGAGGGGCCTAGCTCTGCTGCTCAGGCTGTCTCAAATCCGGGGTGGCCACAGATGCTCAAGAAGGTGGGACCAGAGCACAGCTTAGTTTGGCCTGATGTCTGGACCTGACCCTGCTCACTGGTCCCTGCTAGAGGCTGTCAATCACAGAAACAGGCAGGCAGGACCAAATTCAGAGGACAGAGGAGGGAGGGAGGAAGGCTGTACTTGACTCTCCTTGCTCCACAGGCTCTCAGATCAGGAGACGTGGCCTGGGTGAGGGACAGCAAAGCCCCCAGAGCAGCAGGCTCAGCCTCTGAGCACAGGCAGCACACAGAGGAGCCGAGTTAATTCTGGTGTGTCCAGTCATGAGGTAGTAAAAGCAAGAGCAAGCGCTGACCGACGAAGAAAGGACGACGGGCTCCAAAGTACGTTTCTGGCCAACTAGCTCAAGAGCCCTGCTCGGATGGCTGACGCTTTGGCAGCACTACAAAGCAGACTTGCCCTCTGTCCTCAGAGCACCGTCTCCAGACCATGTCACGGGTGCAGCAGCTTCACAGCAGCCCCCCTCTGCGCACTCTTTCTGGGGTCAGATGTGCTGCTGCTCCAGGTGTGGTTATGTTTTCCATAGGCCTGGCAGACTCTCTAGAATCCGCCTGAAAACCACCTCAAGCAAGCCTCAGACACAGCAGCTGTATCCCAGGTCTGTTCAGTGTGTAAGGCACGGTCCTGACTTACTTGGAAATGGATGAGACATTCTCTAAGTAGCTACTATTCACTACTTCAGCAGTACAGAGGAGTGAGCTCGGGGCCTTTGCACTGAGCTACGCCCCCAGCCCAGTCCTTCTATTTTTATTCTGCGACAGTGTCCAAGCTGCCAGCCTGAGCAGGCTGGGCTCCAGCTTATGATCTTCCTGCCTCAGCCTCCCAGGTGCACACCGCCACACCGGGCATTGATCGAAGAGCTACTTTAAGTAGATGCATTTTACAAAACACAATATTGAAAAACCATTTAAAATTTTAAGTTACTTACATTCACACAACTTATTTTTAACAATTATGTCTGAAATGGTCTTTAAACAAAACTAATCACTTACAGAATTCAGGAAATGCCACTCCAAAACATGCCTCTGACAGACATTCCTGGTCCAGCTCCAAGGAGCCACACAGCAACTAGGGAGACCAGTTCTATTTTCTCTCCTTTCATCTAAAGAAAGAACACGCATCTGTCTTTGCTGGTGACAGTGCTGATGAAGCACCAGGACCCTAAATGGCACTTGCTTCATTAGTTTTATGTTCTTGCCTCTGAAAGCCTAAAGCTCTTTCCCTTTATAGACATGGCTTTCTTCTAGAGCCCTAAAATAGTGCCAGAAAAGTGTGCTCTGAGACCAACTCAGCGCAGCGCGCAGGGGTCCAGCCCAGCCTGTTTCTCAGCTAATTGCGACTCCAGGTACTCATGGAGGAGACAGCCCAGTGCGAGTCTGTCTGGGTTCAGCACGGGAAATTTTAAAAAAGAAGCAGGCCTGCTTTACCCAAGGGCTTCTCTTTTATAATTAATTCTCTGGATCTTGTTCCTTTTGGAGTGGGTAGGTATCCAAAAAAAAAAACCAGATGCAAAGTCAGCTGGGAGAAGAGAGGGCTCGAGGCCCCCATGCCGCCCCACACAGCCAGTGCATCCCACTCCACCTGCTCAGCTCCCGGCAGACCTCACTCCAGTCCTGGTAAAAGAAGGGAGCGCTTGAGGCAGCCTCCAAGCTCTCATCAGGGCCTGGTGTCCAGTGGTCCACAGGTGCACAGGATGGGCCTGAAAGCTTGAACAGCAAGCAGCAAGGGGTCTGGACTCTCCAAGTCCCATTCCACTTTTTTTTTTTAGTATGATAATTTATTGGAGAAAAGGAATGTGGAATAAGAATAGTTCCCGAGAGACAGGAGGGTCCTGAATAAGTTGGCCCTGTTCCACTCTTTACTCATTCTCTCAAAGTGAAAGAGAATTCCACGCACCCTGCCCCTAAAGAACCGTCGTCTGGGCACAGGGTACTTTCCTGGTAAGGGTGCCAACCAGGTTCTATTGGGGGACCGTCTTTGCCCTGGGTGTGCGGCCCTAGGAAGGTTTTCCTGTGCCCCGAGGGAGGCGTGTCTGCCTGGGGCCCAGACGAGACTGTGTGTGTGTGCAGACTCGGGCCCCTCAGACATGGTGACTACCCCAATGGCTCTGGGATGCCAGGCCAGGGCGCCCGTCACACGGATGTGTTTTTATTTTTGATCTCCAGAAGGTGTCAGACCAGCAGGGATGAAAAGAGTTAAGAGTCAAATAATTTACAGATGTGTGTAGGCAACCAAATACAAAGCTACAATACCCAACCAGAAAGAACTGTTGCCACCCAGAAAGGGTTTTTCAGATGTGACAGTCTTTCAGTCCCAGGAAGGACGTGAGATCCTTTACTGAAGCAGCACCCCCCCACCCCCAAATCAGAGCCGACAGGGGTCAGAACTCAACTGAAAGGGACAACAAGACAAGAGTAGCTCTCCAATGCAGGAGAGCCACTGAGGCCAAGGGGACTCAGGAGGCAGCAGCAAAGGGCCTGGGTGGGCACTGCACTGGTCTGGGGCTGCTGGGCCTCTCACAGTGAGCTTGTTTCAGACCCCACTTCTGATACCAGGTCATTGTGCCAAAACTTTCCACAGAGCTGCTCTTAAAGCAGAAGGGCAGAGCCTGTTCAGGAACAAACAGGACTGTAATCTGGGACAGCGTACTACGATGGATAACAGACATCCATGTCTGTTATCTTCTGAGCCAAGAAGAGCTGTGTTTTCTCAGATGGGTCTTACTATGTAGTTCACGCTGGATACAGTCCAGGCCTGCTTCAAAGCCACAGTGATCCTCCTGCTTCAGCCTCCCAAGGGCTGGGATGACAGGCGTATACCACCACCAACTGTTAAAGGCAAATGGAGAACAGTTCTGCAAGTTGTTCAGAAACAACCTCAGGTATAGTCGGTGTCTAGGTGAAGAGTGGGTTCCTTTGGCCAACGTCTTCACAGAAGTAACTGCTCCATGGCTGCAAGGCTGCGGCTGCAGTGTCGCTGTCATGGGAACCAATGAACACAGGACACACAGTGTCCCAGGCCTGTCCCATTCCAGTGAGCAGCTGGTCCCTGTCCCTGCCGCTTCAGAGCAGACTGGCGGGCCGGTCTTCTTCCTCCAGGTCTTGCCTCCATTTACACTGCAGCGTCAGCCAGTCAATACCCACAATACAGCTCCTGCAATTCTGACTGGGAGCAGACTGACTTGACTACCAGGCGGCTGGGAGGAAGCGGCACCCTGCTCATGCAGAGCAGCTCTCTGCCTCCCTGCACCTCCGTCGGCTTTCCTTGTCTGGGATTTCACAGCTTTGGTGGACTTGTGCTAGCTACTTCACTGGGGGAGTGCATGTGCTCTCGTTTCAAATGCCAGCTGCTCACTGATGACCTACAGGAAGCGATCGCCTTTCGGTCGTTCTTGTCATACCTCGCAACCCTGCTCTAACTGCTTCTCCGTTCCAAGGAGGGGTTTTGTCTGCTGTTGTTGATTCTTTCAGGATCTTTTTAAAAGACAACAGTTGCCTGTGGCCAGAAGCATTCTATTTCTCCTTTCCCAGTCAGCTCAGCCTTAGCCAGATGTTCAGTGGGTGCTGCTCCCTGCCTGGCTCCTATCTTTGCAGAGAGCGTCTAGCTAGTCCCCACCAAGGGTCATCTCTCCAGGGTTTTCTGCAGAAGCTCTTCACAGAGCTGGAGTTCTCCTGGAGTCCTCTGTTGCAGGTGGGCTTTAGTATGAATGGCTACTGGATTTTTCAAAAGATGTTTTTACAAGTCTGTCGATGCCGTGACATAATCTTTACTCAGCCTCAAACACGAAGTACCTGATCTCTCCGTGCTGACCCAGCCACGCTTCCTAGGTGAACCTGCAGGTCACAGTGCGTGTCGAGCCATGAAGACTAGCGCGTGCAGACGTGCTGCCAGGGGAGGCTCTGGCAGGCGCGTGCTTGGCGGGCATGAGGCCCTGGCTTAGATCCTCAGCACCACAAAAGGAAAAAGAACCTTAGGAAATATATATTTTGCCTCCAAATGGGAGGTTCTACTATATTATGAAAACAGTTTGTTTCCTCATAAGCACCAATTTTATTCCAAATAATCACATAATTTTAAGAAAGAATTATCCTAAGATACTTTTATAAAAAGTAATGTCAGGGTCATAAACTCTGGAAATTCCACCTTGTACATTCATATTACCTTAAAAAAATATTTCAAAATGTTCCTAGTGGCAATAGATTTCATTTTCCAAGTTGAAAAAAGCCTTCCGAATCATGATCTGTCACGATAAACGGTGTTACTGGTAACTTGGCAGAACTGCAGCTGCTTTGCTGAGCCACAGACAGGTACCCCAGCCAGATGGATGAGCCGGCCTAATGGCCTGCGCTGGAGGCCGGGCAGCTGCCTTTTGTCAGACCCAAGTTGAACAGCGTGGAGTTCAGGTTGATGCAGAGGAAGGCATGCTCCGGGTGCGTTGTCCGCTGTAGCTCTTGCAGCATCAGGTGAATGGTGAAGAGTTCAAAGAGCTTCTTGTTACTCCTGTGGGAGGGTGACCATGTTATTGCACATGCTTAAGAGGGCCACTACTGACCTCCAGAGGTCATCATGAGTCAGTGAGCGATTAGTGTTTCTTTCTAAAAACAGCAGTAAAAATGGCTAGCTGAAGGGGTCAGGTGGGGACACAAAGCAGACAGCTTCCACAAGAGCCGGGGGACAAGCCCCGAGGCCAAGGCCAAGTTCTGCACTCCTGCAGCTTGTATTTATTTACTGCCAGCTGGCAGGCTTCCTTCCCTCCACTAGAGATCAGGGCTGGGTGTCTGCAGTGAGCTGACTGACATGGTCCAGCGCCAGGCCACAAGGGACTTGGCTCCTGAATGACTGGGCCTGGGCCGTCTTCCCATCTCTCCGTCTACGAGGGAGACGTCCTGTTCCCACTTACACATGAGGCCACAGGGAAACCACTGCCTGCCAGGGCCCTCGCCGCGCAGCCCTCTTATCCCAGCTCTGTTCTCGTTCCTCCTCTAAGTCTGAGATGAACCTGGGCTACAAAACCATGGAGAGAACAATAGGCACACACCTTGGGGCCGCTCTTTAGAAGCAAGGAAGGGGTAAAGACCAACTGAATCTAGCCCCTCGCCTGCTGGCCCACAGAAGGATTCACCTCTCTCAAGTCAGCAGTTCAGGCCCCGTCAGCAGCCAGGGGAGGCAGTGAGCAGTAGCCGGTCTCGATTCCAAAACAAGACTAGTGATCTGTGAGCTGAGAGTAAGATACCGTTCAGCGACGACAACTGACTACGGTGCTCACTACCCAGGAAGAGCGCGGCCTGGTGGAGTGCATGCGCGGGGGCAGCACCAAGGGGAGCAAGCGTGAGCCAGCGTCACCCTGCACTGTGACAGGGAGGTGCCTACATCGCCTTGAAGCAAACATGAGGCTGTACCAAAGTCAAGAAAAACAGCTTGAAATCTATGCCCTTCATTTAAGATTTAAAAACTGGTCCTACCAATGTGTGAGTCAGAGGAGGGGCAGGAGAGCCCTTGATTCTCTCCAGTGGAAGCAAGCCCCTATGTGCCCTAAATAAACCCAGATGCTGACGTCATTTAAAATCGCTTTGCCTGCTTCATTTTCATTCTCCAACTTCCTTCAGCACACTAATGAGGAATTATAAGTTACCAGCCGCCCTTCTGACTTTCCCTGGTGGCACCAGAGACCGCCAGCATGCAATAGCTCATCCTGAGACTGCCACGTGGTTGCTAAACCCTGACGTGAGGCACTGGAGTGCAGCTCAGCCTCAGCACCTGCCCAGCCTGGGCTCCGTCTCCAGGCTCAATCCCAGGCCCACAGGGGGCACCCTGGTCTCAGCCCCACATACCATTACAGGCCACCTGGTGTGGAAGACTGGTCTCAGGTCAGCATTAATACCTGTGCATCTTAATTTTCTGTACCTGTAGGTAGGAAATTTTCATCTCGCAAAGGTGAGCTGATTTAGAATTCATTAAGACTGAAATGATCATGTCAAGATATATATCAACAGGCAATGTTTAGAAAAAGAGATCCTTACTTGATTTTGGAAAGCTTCTGCAGAATAATACTGAGCTTTTCTAGGACCTGAAGATCCAGCTTCGGGGTTCGAAGAAGCACAGAACAAGTTCGAAAAAAGAAAGAGTTGCTGCAGGCTTCCAGGAAGGGCTGCAGAGCTTCTGCAAGACAAAGCACCAGGCTGCATGTCAGGAGCCGCAGCGAGGAGCGCAGAGCCGGAGCTGCATGGCCCGCCCAGGGACGTATCCTGCAGTGCCACGCTTTTACACTTACACGCGGGGAGAAACTATCATTTGGAAAACAAAGCACCCACTGTCTCTCACTGACCAGCACAAAGGCAAGAGACACTATCTTCCCTAATGTCAAGCTTCTACTCAGCGAGGCTCAGCAGAACCCATGTGACTGGCGGAGACGGAAGGGTTCTGGGTCGGGGAGAGCAAGAGGGATAGAAAAGGGTCGAGGCGTGGCACATACGAGCGCCCCGTCCAGCAGCAGATACAGGCATTGCACACTACACACGTACACTAACAGTTCTTCAGATCCCAAGTTGGAAAAAAAGGGTGAAGGCCATCCGTCCATCCGTCCATCCTTTTTTCCCTCCTTCCTTCCTTCCAAGACCAGGTCGTGCTGTGTACCCCAGGCTGGCCTTGAAATTGAAGTGACCCTCCTACCTCTACCTCCCAAGTGCTGGGATTACAGTGCGTGCCATCAAACCCAGTAAGTTCTTTAATGAGCTCATAACTAAGCTCCTATAACTGGTAATAGGAAATATTTTGTAATTGAAAAACAAAACTCCATATTTAGGGATTTTTAAAAAAACTAAAAATACAAAATTTAAAACAATTGTTAAAACTAATAATTAAGGTCAAGGCATTTTGGCACACACATGTAATCCCAGAAATTGGGAGGCTGAGCCAGGAGGATCGCTGCAAGTTTGAGGCCAGCCTGGGCTACAAAGTGAGTTCAAGGCCAGCCTGAGCTGCACAGCAAGACCCTGTCTCAAAAGACACACACACCCCTAATAATTAAAAGGCAAAGAGTTTAAAAAAAAAAAAACAAAACAAAACTAATTTCTTGAAAGAAAATTTCTTAAAAGGCAAAGTCCTAGAACAGAATAAGCAAAACAAAAGATGCCAAACTTAGAAGAGGAGGGGTGTTTGTTTTTGTATATCTGCCACAAGACTGATATAATTACTCTAAGAGCGCTGCTATACACAGTTTTTAAAGCTGCACTTAATATTTTTAGTAATAAAAAAGTGCACACAAAAATTTTTACAGCAGAATAGTCAAAGAAAGAAGGCCAGTGAGACAGTTCAGGGGACTAGGCGCCTGCTTGGGCAGGAGCCGCGCCGGGGTTCGATCCCCCACACCACATGCTGTGCCGGCCCTGCCCCGGGCCCACTTGTAGCACCTGCAATCCCAGCGCTGGGAGGCTACAGACAGGGTCACGACGAGCCTGAGCCGCATAGTGAGACCCTGTATCAAATACAACAACAACAAAATAATCTCAGTAGAGTGTCTGTCAACGTTTTTACTAAAGCTCTCACCAGCACATGTACCCTTTGATTTAGCTTTTCTACCCCTAAGAATGTCTGACACATGAGTGCACAGGGAGGCTCACGAACACGGACCACAGTGTGAAGTCCTGTTGGAGCTCTGGTGTGTCCACCACAAACAACATACAAAATGCCTGCTAAGGTGTGAGTCCGCTAGCACTGGCTGCAGAGAGAACCCTACAAAGAAAAACCCCAGAAGAGCGTTCCAACGTGCCCTCACGGAGGGCCAGCTCTTGTGACACGCTTCGGAGAAGCTTGGAGGCCCCACCTCGCTCCAAGGTAGATCAAGCCGCGCGGCCACCAAAGAGAGCTCTCCGTCACCCACGCACAGCCTGCCCAGCGCCACGGCGGCTGGAGCGCACCCGGGCCTGGCGACGCCTGCCTCAGCCAGCCAGCCCCTCACATCCTTCCCCAGGACTGCCTGGCCAACCCTGGCCCAAGACCGCCGGGCTCTGGGGCCTGAACCAACCGATCTTCCGCAGAGCTGCCTCTCAGGGCCCGTCGGGACTTTAGAGGGCTGACCTCACAGCAGTGAAACCCAAACTCAGGCTGGGGGTAGTGCCTCGGGCAGCGGCGCACCAGACACCGGGAAGACTGCTCTGTGCAGCCCACTGCCAGCCAGCCTGGGCTGGACGAGCACGCCTGCTCCTCCAAGGCTGCGGCCCAAGTGTGGCCTCCAGCACAGAGCCTCGCAAGGGCCACAAGAATGACTCTTAGCCTCAGTCACACATTCTTCTTTCCCTTTTGTTGTTTTGTTGAGTCCAGGACTGCAGTGGATTTCTCCCAGGTGGTCAACTTACTATACCCAGCTGAATGAAACTAGCGTGGTGCTGGGGGGGCCACCTGGAGCTGTCGGAAGCTGCTCTGCTGGAGGACCTTGTCGTGCGGGCTTTCCTGATGAACTTTGGAGAACTCTGGTCCTCATCTTGAGCACTGCTTCCTGGCTCCAGAGAGAAAGATGGTGCCCTGCTCAGGCCCATGGAGAAGCTTGTCACACTGGCTTTCCTGATGGGAACTCGGCTTTCCTCACCGCTGGAGGAGCCCGGGACCTCACTGTTGCCGACGGTGGCTGTGGTACTTTCGGGGAAGCTCTGTTGCTTACCTTCAGGGCTGCTTCCTAGGTCCAGCTCAGATCCTTCATCCCGTTGGCAAGACTTCCTAGCTGCCAGCCCTGACCTTTGGGCCTTTCCAGCTAATCCATGAAGTGGGCCTGCATGAGATTGTTATGGGCTCTAGGCCTCCGTTTGGACTGGTGGGAGGCACCGTTATGAGCTCTAGGCCCTCAGCTAGATTCCTTAGTGTTTAGAGTGTGGACTAATTCCTGCACTCATTTCAAGCTGCTTCACCAATTATACAGTTTATTTTGTATTCTGAGACATGTGACCCACGTGAATTGTACAGAAGGGACTTTATATGGTATGGCCAACAGAACTGAAACCAGGACAGAACACCTTAAAGTTACAGATCACTGACAGGAGCTTTACCTAATAGACTGTTACGGTGTCGAGGTGTCCCCCAAAGCCTCAGGCCATCATTGGGGGGCTTCTGGAGTCTGTGATTAATTCATGACCCACCGCAGGAGTTATGGGTGCGACTGTCCCAGCCGCCCTGGGACGGGCAATCTGCATCACAGCGTAATGAGGGAAGAGGCTTGCTCTAGCAGCCATGGCTCTTCTCTTTCCTCTTTGCTGTCTTCCACCACCTGAACAGCTGTGCTCTGCCCTGTGCCGCTCTACCTCGGAGCCAGTCGAGTATAGACTGAAACCTCCACTAACTGTGAGCTGAACAAACCTTTCCTTCCTTAATTTTGGGTGTTGGGTATTTTGTTCCAGCAACGACAGAAGAGTAACTGAGACACAGACCTACAGTCCGTATGATCGATGTTGTTCATCTAAAATCCTAAAGGCACACAGAAAGTTATGTTCACTTGTGTGGAGACTACAAAAGCAAGAAAACATACTTTAACTGCATCTTAGCTGAACAACTCACACACATGTGAAGATTCCTAAAAGTGCTGAATAGTTTAATCTCCAGTACTGCAAGGAAAAAATGAAATGAAATCCTAAACACCACCAAACAAGTGAATGTCCTTGCATAGCCTCTGTAAGGAAAAAGCTAGGACCACCCGAGATCCAGCACCTGCAGGCAGTGGTCTCTGTGGCGGGCTCCCCAACAGCTGTGTGCAGAGAAGCTCTGGGCTCCTGGAAGGGGTTCGGGTACAAGGCTAAAACACTGCCACTTTCCCTTTTCCGTTTTTCAGTGCTATACACATCAATTACGCTTCTTAAACTCAAAAGAATTTCGATTTGAACTTGAAATTTCAACTTGAACTTGGCGCCACAGACTAAGTGCGCCTCGCAAAGCCTACCGTTCCTCGGGCTCTGGCCACAGTGCCGGAGCCTCACCCTCGGGCCCTGTGCCGGCCATGGCCTGGGTGTGGTGTCTCCCCAAACGCTGCGCCGGATCCCAGAATCCCCCAGGGTGATGCTGCGGCCCCTCAGGGGCCTGCGGTCAGCTGTCTCCAGACCCAGGCCCGCTAGCCCAGAGCTGGGCAGGCACCTGGAGGCGCCAGCACTTGGCAAACGGCCTCTCGGAGTGCAGGAGAGGCAGTGCGCTGTGGAGGGGCCACCAGGAGACCACCAAACATCAGAACCTGGTCTTGAGAATGAGTAAACTGCATGAAAAATGAGAAAATCAAAACAGGAAGCAAATGAACAAGCTGCTGCCACAAGACAGAATTAAAAACCACCAACTGCAACAATGTAACCCGCAAGGCAGAAAGTGTACAAGAGGGGACACAAGGGCACCAGTGTTGAAGTTCCAAGTTCTCATCTGAAGTCAGTCAGTGCTCCATGAAACCCAGGGAGTTTTATACAGAAAAGTACACTACAACGTCACAGTGACAATTCGGGGGTGGGAGGGCCATCTGATTCTCTGAGGCCACACACACGCACACGCCCGCATGCGGGGCGGCAGCCCAGGCGCACCAGGGCTCCGGAGAGCGGGCACCTGGCACTGCTTCCTCCAAGGCTCACAGGCCCGGCCCAGCCTGGCAGCCCTGACATGGGAAGTTCATGAAAAGCGCATTACGGCACGACCAGGAAAGGGGGAAAACAGCCTTTTCTGAAGAAAAGGAAGCCAGAGTGAAAACCCATCGCGGTGTCCCGTGAGACGCTCTCTATCTGTGTCTCTACGCCGACCCACTCGCCCGCCTTTCATCTGAATACCACAGAAAGACGTCTGAAGCCACACTCACCTCGTGCCAAGGAAGATCTTTTCTCAATAACGAAGTCTAGGGGTTCTGAAAAACACGACTTCTACATTTTTCGTTCAATTTTTAGTTTTGAAAACTTTTGCAGAAAGTTCAACTTTCTACATTCAATATTAAGTTTTGTTTTGTACCACAAAAAGTGATTCGGTTTTATTTCTAGTTAATAACTGTGTGTTGCACCCCTCAGTTTTCAGCAGGGGGGGCCCTGCCTACCTGGCCCAGGAGGGAAGCTGCTCACAGAGGGCAGGCAGCCGGGGGCAGAGCAGGAGCCGGAGGGCACCAAGGACACAACACCGCGCTGGCACACACCACCAGGCCCTGCTCCGGAGCTGTG